TATAAAACTTTAACTTATGTTAGGCCTAAGTTAGATAAAAGAGATAAATTGACACTGTAACCTGTGTACGTTTTTTTTTTTTTTTTATTTTATTTTAGTTAGGACTAAACTTTACTGTACTTAATATTATCGATAAATAAACTTATAATGTTATTCTACGACCTAACGTCAAACCTTTTTTTAAAAATTTTGATAAGTTTTTAATATTCTGTTGTACAAAATGGTTAGTAAAGTATATTTACATCCCTCTTTTGTTGTTACTTCTTGTTTCATACAGCAATCTAGCGACTTCGTCACTGAGCTTTGCAGATCTCTGCCGCAGGCAGACTGGTTGTCATCGAGTGAATAATGCGCATGCGCGGTTTTTCTTGGTGAACATTCTAACCATGCCTGCTTATGCAGCCGGTTCTCGGTCAGAAAGCGTAACGGTCATACATATAAACAAGCAGAATAATAGTATAGATAATCGTATGAATATCATAAATATTCAACATTCGCTATTTTTCTTTTCTGTAAGTTTTATTCGGCAGTATATATTTTTGTAACACAGAAATTCGATCTGAATTATTAAAGTTTGTCTGTTTTAAGCACAGAACTACACAATAGGTTATCGGTTCTGTACTAACCGTCAGTATCGAACTCCGATTTTTAACGTTTTATGCTCTCAAGCTTACCGCTAAGTCACCACGGGGGATGTATTATGACAGAAACTGTTCATTATATCAATTTATGAATCAAGTCACGTTTCTTGCGGCATCACAAAATCTTGTCAGCTATAATTGTTAACAAGATTACATGAATCGACATTTCGCCATATGCCTGTCTCAGTCGTCATAGCTCATGAAACTGTTCTCATAATTAGTCATTAGTGCTTCAAACACGCCCACGAGGGTTAACGTGAATTAATACTCGAAAAGCTTTGGATCATAAATAAATTGTCACGCTATTGTGAATAGACTCCACAGCAGGGTAGAGACACTCATTTGTCAACTTATGAACAAGTCATTCA